ATGATAGTCAACTGAAAATACAACTTGAACAAACCTGTGTGGGCAGGATGGGAGTGAGTCATGCGTAGCATCTCACCACTGATACAAAGGGGTGACGCTTCAGTATAAGCACCCTTCTCGCTCAAACAACATACAACGCTTGAGTTACTGCATTAAATCATTCGTCATTGTGGGTTTGTTTTGTATGTGTGTGCATGCTTTATTTGCATAAAATATCGTAACCATGGCTCCAAAGAAAGTTAGTGATACCTGCAGTAAAGCTAAGAGGAAAACAGAGAACTATGATCGAGTTAAAGAAAGTAATCATTGTGAAATTAGAATCAGGTAGCTGCCTGTCTGATTTGGCAGCTGAATACAACATGGCTAAGTTGAAATTAATATTTTTGAAAAAAAAGAAAAAGGTGATTAAATTGGCTAATGTATCAAAAAGTGTGAAATCATTAACCACAAAAGAAAGATAGAAGCCCATAGAAGAGGGTGAAAAGTCACTGTGACTGTGGATAAATCAGAAACAACTCGATGGCAACACCGTATCCGCAGAGACAATGATCGGCAAGAAGGCTGAAAACCTCCACAACGATGTGAAGTCCTGGAAAATTTTATAGTGGGTCTCAGGACCAATGATTTAGTATTCCATTATGTTTTAGGGTGAGACTATGTTCAGTTCTCAGAACGTTTTGGTGTTCGAACACGAACTTGGAATGAATTTTGTTCCCCAGTGACCAGTTAGACATATCTATTGACAGAACTCCAGATGGATGTTTCTGGTGACTGGATCAGGATGGATGGTAGCAATGTTGGTGGTGAAAAATGATGAGATTCTGAATATATTTTGAAGGTGGAGCCCCCAGATTTACTGAGGGTCGGACACGGGGCGAGAGAAGAGAGCAACGAACTGTTCAGATGATGAACGGCTTGAGCCACCGGAAGGGTCGAAGTTACCATCTACTGAGATGTGGAAGGTGAGAATCAGTTACTAGGGAATTCTCTGCTCCCAGCAGCAGTGGCTTTAAGAATGACAAGAACAACTTGTCGTATTAGGAAATGGTATCCTGTCTAGTTCATGATCATGGTCCAGAGGTCTCAGATAGTGACCAAATCATAATGTTCAAGAGCTGGAGAGAAGCCAAACCATCCAAATCACCCACACTCATTAGTGATTATCACCTACCCATCTATGTAAATTCTAAATATTTATTTTCCTTTTTTGAGTTTCATAGATTTGCTATCTAAGGTTGAGTAGCTCCTTTTATGTATTTTCTAATTTCTCACCTTTCTAGCATTAGGTTACACCTGATTTCTATAATTCTCAGATATTGTGAATCATTATGGTTCTAGGTAAACGCTTCTTCAACCTTATCCACTCTCAATTTCTACTTGTAAGTGTATTTGATTAACCCTTTGTTTATACTGTCATTTTCCCATGATCTTTGTAAAGCCTCTCATATTTATTTCTCATAAAACTCTATCTCAAATAGAGAAGGAAAAAGGAAAGTGGAGGTTCGGTTAGTTACAAAACCAGAGGCCAATTTCTACTATACAAGTTCCTGTTTTTGTTTTTCATTGATTACTCTTTTCATTGTTTTATCATTGGGTGTTTTGAGCCTGGATTTTTTTTCCCCATGAACAATTTCCATTTTATTTCCTTTCAGGTTTGTTTTTCTTCAGCTTCTAATCTTTACATAGGCTTTGGAGGAGGTCGTGGGGCAGCACCTGCAGGTCTAAATGAGGTGGGGGGGCGGTTCGGTCCTTCCGGGCTTCACGTGACCGGTTCCTGACCACCTTGCTGTGAATGCATCACTCACGCAGTCATGCAGCTTCACGGACAGCTTGGGAAGCACGTAGGTGTCGAAGACACTCGCTGCGGAAATGTCTCTGACGGCCGCGGCCTCCACTATGTCTCTTATGACGAACTTTAATGGCCTTGTGTTTGGGCACGCAGCGGGCACAGTTGGTGCTGCGAAGGGCTGCACGTGGCCGTGGCCTTTCTTGGCACAGCCGTTGTGACACCTTTTCTCTGTCATCTCGGAAGCAAGGATGCGAGAGAATGAGCCTGGGTTTTTCAGTGTCAGATTACTCAATAAACAAGGCAAACTCAGGTTTACTTGTGCTTACTTACTAATCTGTAGTGAACAATTTCACAATTTTCACCATATCAAAGAATCTATTTCTAGACATGGCTGGCTAGATATGGTTAGACCTTTCTCCCAACCCCAGAGCACTTTCCAAAATCAAAGCATCATTTCAAATTAACAGCCCCCGATCCCCGTTCCCCCATGGAGTATCCAGTAAGCAAGGTAAACATGGGCTCACATGTGCTTACTTGGTAATCCGTAGTGAATAGTTTCTTTGATATGATGAATTGTTTCAGTTTCACTACTGATTTTAAGTATAAGTAAACCAAAGTTTACCTGACTGGGTAATTCACTGCTGGGTTTTGTCTTTGAGATTATCTGCCAGAACTACTTGCCACAAACACTAGGAAGATGAACTAGCATTTTTAAATCAAGACAAGATCATGTTTTCTGATTCACTTTTTAAAAAATTTATTATTTGAAAATCATTTTATTGGGGGCTCTTATAGCTCTTATCACAATCCATCCATCCATCCATTGTGTCAAGCACATTTGTACATATGTTGCCATCATCATTCTCAAAACATTTTCTTTCTACTTGAGCCCTTGGTATCAACTCATCTCCCCCTTCTCTGAATCACTTTAATAGTTTCTCTGATAATGTCCCAAATTTCTTTCAGGGTTTGTTAAGGCGACCAGATTTTAACATTGGTAAAGCGAGATAAAAGCGGGACACCATTGAAAAAACTTATATCCTGGCGAAATAGCCACGTGGCAGCCAAAAACCGTATACCCTAGTTTGTTGTGCATTCTTTCAAAAAATCAAGACTTTTTAAAAACGCCGACATGGGAAAAATAAAAATCGTGACTGTCCCGCCAAAAGCGTTAGCTGGTTTGCTTTAGCAGTTGCAGGAATAGCAGGGACACAAGCTTGACTTTTTAAAAGTTTTAATGGTTGCTCAATTAATATGGTTGTGTTGATTTGCTTGAATACAGCAAAAACTGATCTAGATTATTTCCCTCTAAATTTCTTTTATTGTACACAGTATTGGGTTACCCAGTAAACAAGGTAAGTACTGATATACATATGCTTACTAATCTGCAGTGATTATACTAGTAGACAAACAATAGTCTTCTCAGAACTAACAAGATGATACTGAGATAATCTGAATCTCGAGTATGATAATTGCTTGTATGCCTGTCAAAGGACAAATAGTGGATGAAATCCTGATTTTTTTCAAAAAGTTCTTCAAAAAGGTTTACATAAAAAATTATTAATGTGAAAAGAAAAGAAAAAAGCCAACCCCAAACTATTCCCCATGGCATGGAAGAACAGTTTGTCATGCAGAACAATGGAATAAAAGATAAAAAAACATACTACTAATAAGTTCAAATTGACCTATTGATACAACAGAATCCTAGTGGCCCAGTGGGTTTAAGCGCTGGACTTCTAACTGCCAGATGGGTTGACGACTTAAAACCACCAGCAGTTCCACCGAGAAAGATCAGGCAATCTGCTTTGCTAAAGACGTACCGCCTTCGAATCCTTATGGGCACGTCTACGCTGGAAACGGACAATGGCAATGGGGTTGGCTCTCTTAAAAAAATAAAAAAATAATAATACAATAAAAATATCTGCCAACCTCCCCCCACTCTCCTCAATGATCTGGTGGAGCTGGTAGAGCACAATGTCTCTGAAGTATTACGCCATTCTAAACTCCCCGTTTCCTGTAGTTTGTAATCTGTCCTTTCGCGAACCGCCTGATTTCCTAGAGTTCTGTAGTGTTCCATTTGTTTCCAAACACCTGAAACTTGGCCTTCTACCACCTCCTTTTGACTTTCTGGTCTGCTTGCCACACTGAAAAACTCACTGCTACCTAATGGATTCCGGCGTATAGAAACCAAATAGGACAGAGTAGAACTGCCTCTGGGTTTCTAAGCGTGTTTCCGGGAAGTACAAAGCCTCTTCTTTCTGCTCCAGTGGTTCCAAACTGGAACTGCAGGCTGTCAGCTCATTATGTCCGCCTCCAGGGCTCGCTACCTACTTGCCCTAGTTTACTCAATTCCTTGTTCTCAGAGGATCCTCTTCTGTTAAAAGTCGTTTCTAGGAGGCTTCCCTTCTTTCCCATCCTAGTCCTCTTCATGGAGACCCCAGTGGTGAGATGGGTTACAAGTTGGGCTGCTGACAGCAAGGTCAATGGTTCAAACCCACCAGCAGCTCTGTAGGAGACAGTTGATGCTCTCTGCTCCCACAGATTGACCCAAACCATTTACTTAATCAAACCAGGACAGATCGTTAGTCTCCTCTGGATACACCCTCTACTAATGGTCCATTTGAGATCATAGGATTTTTGTTGTTTGCACAATCTTTCAAACCTTTTCTACCATATTGAAAGTAAGTTATGTTATGCAAGCACAGAAAGTAAAAGTGGTACATCCATTTCAGGTACTTTGCAGATGGACACTGGAGGTAAAAAAATGGTGCTACCATGCAGGGAGGTTGCATGAGGTCAATGCAGGATTTTGTTAAAATACGAGGGCCATTGGGCCACCTACATCTTGGTCGGGATGAGGGGAGAGAGAGGGGAGATTAATTTAAAAGGCTCCAGAGCGATTAGGAGACTACACATTAGAATCTCTTGCGAACTCGTTTTTCAAGTCCGGGGGCCCCCCCCGCAGTCCACGCAGGACCGCCTCCGGGGCTGGGGCCCGGCGGAGCGTCACCAGTGCCCACCCCGCTGAGAGTGCCCGCCCCCGCCTCCCGCCCGGACCCCGGCGCGCTGCACGCCGGGAGTTGTAGTTTTCGGGGGCCCACGGCCGGAAGGGCAGAAGGGCAAGGGAAGCACACTCCTTAGCTCCTGAAGGTCATATTCCGTAGCGGCTACCTTCCGTCCTGTGGGGCGGAACCTTCAGCGTTCAGGGCTAGATCTGTCTGTGCCACCGTCTCTCTCCTAGGTTTCAATAAAGTTTTCCTCTCCGCTCCCTTGTACGGAGCTCAAGATGGCGACCTCCTGTGCTCCCTTGCTGACTGTGCGCTCGCTCGTGCAGAGGCGGTTGAGGGGGAGATTGGTTAGGTGCGGGGACTGGGCCGCCGCCCCTGGGAAGCCCCTTTGGAAAGGTCAGTGACTGTGCCCAGAGGCGGTTTGCGTCGGCCTGCCGGTGTGTGCTGATGACCCAGGCACCTTCTGGGGTCATCCCTCCTCCGCGCCACCACCCCAGCTCCTTTGCTGGCTGAGGGCTGGCCCCGCAGAGGATCCTCAGCCTTTCCTAAGCCGGGCGCCGCCGAAACTTGCCCGGAGTGACTTAGAGTTTGAGGATCAGAGCTGGGCCCAGGTTTTGTCCCCACCCGGGGTTAGCTAGACCCGGTGAAACCAGGTGTGGGCATCGCTGCCTTGAAGGGATGCACACTGGGCTTGGGCTGGGGCTGGGGACCATTCCACACCCTTCCCTTCCCGGGCCCTCGGGCTGGTGACAGCCACGCGGTGGTCGCCTGCAGGCCCTGCTGGCTCTGGAGACAACGTCCACCAGTGTCTCTGGTGGGGGAATGGATTCTTTGGTGTTATTTTCAAACCAAATGGAAGCGGATAGCTGTGTGTTGTGTCGCCGAGCTTGCCTCATTCATTCAATTGTTGATAAGCATTCACGAATGATTGAACATACCTCTTGAACGACACGGTCCACGGGAGTGCGGACGTTACTGTTTGATTCATATTCCCAGGCTAAAGCCCACTGCCATGCGATTGATTCAGACCCACGACATCCCGGTGTGCGGTTGCCGAGACTACACCTTGCAGGAACTGACAGCCTCAGCTTTCTCCCCAGAGAAAGCGAACAGCTGGTACCCACCATGCTCCCTCCCCAGGGCTTTATTCATATCACTTTCACCCACTGCTTCAGGTAGATTCTCTGACTCATCTGGTCCCCCTAAATTGAGGGCTTCTCAAGGGCAAAGACCTTGGGTCCTTGGATCTGTGCTCCTGTTTCCCTAACACTGAGCACAATGGTCCCTGGTGGGCAGATAATGTTATTTGAATGAACTTTAAGATTCTCATTGCCTCACCACCCACATATTTATTCTTTCCTTTTTCTCGTCTCCAAGCACCTTCCCCTGATAGACTTAAATAAAATTTCTGTAGGAGAAAGATGAGGCTATCTACCCTGTTGAGACTTGGTCTCAGAAAACCTATATTGTGTGGATATCAGTCGGAGTCGCCTGGATGGCAGTGTGTTTATTGGCTAATTTAGCTAAACGTGTAGTAGTCTCTGGTGATAACCTGAATCCAGTCGAAAGGTTCATATAATATTCACTAAATAATTATGGGATATTTGGGTACTGTAAGCTCTGGCCTAGCGGAGTTATACATTGCGTTGCTAACCACTGGGTCAGCAGTTTGAACCCACCAGTTGCTGCAAGACGAATCGGAGGCAGCCTGCTCTGGGGAAGACCTAGAGCCTCAGAAGTAGCTCTACTTTGCTCTCTGGGCTCACCATGAATCAGAATCACTCAATGGCAGTGGGTTTGGTTTAGGTCTATAAGCTGTGGATCATCATCTACATTTTATTTTACTCTTGGAATAGACCAAACAAATCTCAAAATATATTAGAAGAAATACAGTGACCTTCAAGCCTTTTTTCCGTTGCTGTCCCCTAACCAGAGGCAATCGGATACTAATTTCTTATATATCCTTCCAGAGACATACTGCAATGTACATTTAATTATCTGTGTTTTTAAAAAAATAGAAACGGCAGTGTTCTATACGCTGTTCTGTTCTTTTGCTTAGCATATCTTCGAGATCATTCCAAATGAATAAGTACTGAACTGCCTCATGTGCTGTCACTCTTCCATTTGGTACAGTGGGTTCAACCGTGGGCTGCTAAGCCCCTGAAAGAAGCCGATGGCTTGAACTCAGGAGCCGCTCCGCTCCGTGGGAGAGAGATGAGGCAATCTGCTTTTGTAAAAGCCCTCCCTGTGGAGCAGGTCAGCACTGCCCATCGGCTCCCTGTGTGTTAGCGTCGGTGGCAGTGGGTTTTATTCCATTTTATGTAAGCATGAAAAGCTTATGAAAATTGATATAAGATTTAAAGAACATCATTGTAATGACTTAAAGTGTACTAAAGGCTTGCTCGTTATCATGGGATATCATTTAATCCTCATATCATCTGGTGAGGCTAGGATTATAATTTTGTCGATGAAGATTCTGAGGTTGAAGAAGGTCGTACGACTTATAAATGGCAGAACCAGTAAGTTCAAGTCAAGACTAGGCCTTACATTTGCCCCTGTTACATCTTTTTATAATCATACTGCCTTCTATAAAGGAACCCTGCTGCTTACCAGGTCAGCATTTCAAAACCACACACTGCTCCGAGAGAGACTGGTGAGGCTTTATACTCCTGCAGAGTTACAGTGTTGGAAACCTAAAGGAGCAGTTCTACCATATCCTATATTCACATTTAGCCAATTCTCGATGTGGGAATTTGATGAAAATGAATTGGATGTCAAATTAATTGTAACTAAGGACACATCCTCTAAAATAGAGAACATTTAAGTTGAAATTTTGTTCAATATTTAATTTACAAATTTATTTTCTATTTTATTTGGTGCTATTATTTTTGTTATTTGCTATTTGCACTTATATTTTATGTACATATTTTCATCACTTGAAATGTAGTTAGTGTAATGTGAATGAAGCATTGGCTTAAAATTAGACAAAAGAAGCAAATAAATAAAGGAAAACATGTTCTTGACAAGGGTTAATGTCACCCCTAGCTTCAAGATATTTTGTAAACTGGAATTGTGAAAACTTGAGAAGTTTTAAAGTTTGGGCCTTCCGAATCACCTACCTGAACGCCTAACTAAACTACAACATAGTGAGTTCTGTTTTTGATCCCTACGTTAATTTAGGTCACCTCTTAGGTCTTTGTGTGTCCCTGTGGTTAGCCGCCATGGAGTGGCCACCCAGTGCCCAAACAGATCAAAGTGTCTCCTGGTCCTGTGCCCTCTTTGATATGTGTGATCCATTGTTGTGGTTATGATGGCCACCCAGCTCATTTCAACTTTCCTGCATTTTGGCTGACTCTCTTGTCTTACCCAATATGGTGTCCTTTCCTAGGGATTGCTAAGACTAAAAAGCTAAACCAAACTCAAGGAAGCCCACTGTGTGGAGCCCATGCTGACTCATAGGGACCTGCTGGGACAGCGTGGAACTGCCCCATAGGCTTTCCAAGGCTGTGAATGTGCAGAAAGAAACTGCCACACCTCTCTCCCAAAGCTGGCTGGTGAATTGGAAACAGTGACTTTCTGTGAGCAGCCAAGTGCTGCTGGGCCACCAGGCTGCCTTTCGGTCAGATTCTAACTGCCATTCCGTGGATGCTGTCTGACAACCTTGGGGTGCAGTTATACTGACATACGTACGCAGGGTTTCTGTGAGTCAGAATTGACTCGGTGGCAGTAGATTTGTTTGTGTGCTTTGTCTATGTTTTAGTCATACTGCTAGCAGTTTTGGTTTTTTGTCTCATGATCGAACCTCACACCAACCCTGCAAACACTATTTCTGCCTGGATCTGACAGATAAAGTTACATAGGCATGGCTATTAACTAGAATTTGAACTCAGACCTTTTTGCCCCAGAACTCGAACCGCTATGCTGTACCGAGCTCCTTAACATAACAGTAAACATGAATCCCCTAGGCCCATCTGAAATGTTGCAGGTCTGCTGAGCAGAAAGCAACTCTCAGAGTATGGAAGTGACTGGTCCATTAGGTATGGTCCATAGGGAGGAGCCGTGGGAAGATGGAGGCAGTTTCTTGAGAAGCCATCAGACGCTATCTCAGCCAGGTTACTGTTGCAGCGGTGTGAAGCACAAACCGGGAACCCATGGGTGGGGAAATACTGGGGTATTAGGAGGAAGTGAAAGAGTTCAGGGGAGCATTGCTTAGGAACTGAGCTACTGCTGTGAAGATAGAGAGGAGGACAGCTGGGGAAGGAATTCAGAGCCACACCTTTGGTAGATTGGGGGAGACAGAGCAGAAGGCGGGGTTAAGATCAAATTTAGTTTCTTAAGCTGGACATTTGGCATTAGCTTTCACCTATTACAGGAAGTAGCAACAACAAAACAGGAAGAAGGAAGGTCAGACATTTCTGGGGAAAGTGTATTTTGGACTTGTTACCTTCGAGGCGTTTGGGATGGTTCCAGGGAGATAAGTCTAGTTAGCTGTTGGAAATATGAGGACTGAAATTTAGAAAGGAAATAGCGCCAGGGAAATTGAAGAACTAGCCTGGGAATATTTGTAGAGTGAAAAAGAGAAAAAGCTATTTCTCAAAGAAACCGGTGTTTTTTGAGCAGAAGACAGAGACCTTGCTGACGAGCAGTTAAAGGGATCAGAGGAAAACTAGGAGAAAGCCAGAGGGGAATGTTTTTATATTTCCTAACATTCAAACATGAATACTTCTGAGATTTATTTACAGTAGCCGTATAAACGTAAAGGGCTTTTTTAATAGAGGCAAAGAAATATGGGGGTTGTAGTTTGTGATTATAGTGTCTTGAAGACCTTAATGTTTTAATTGTAGGAGTCACTATTAACTATACAGGAGAAAGACGAGGCTTGTGAAGATTTAGAGCCTCAGAAACCCAAAAGGGGCCATACCATTCTGTCCTGTAGCGTTGCTATGAGTGCACATATATCAGAGATTATTCTACAATTTAAAATCTCTTAACACTTTTTCTTCACCACAAGATTAATTGTTAACATAAGGAGAACTCACCCCCTTCCAGCAAATGAGTTGGTATAATTTATTAGTAGTACGGATCAGTTGTTAAGAAAATGGGCTCTGGACTTACATCTTTATTACTCAGTAAGATGAGTTGAATACCTTTATGTGAAACTTAATTCCTGTTTCTTGGAATTCCATGAACACTTGTAATTGTATTAGAAAATAATATCCATGCTTGCTCCTTCAACTGTTTAACCTTGTGACAGATACTGGAGAGGTCTTCTACATATTAAAAATGTTCAATTATTTTCTTTGTTCAAATAGCAGAATATAGGTGAAGCTGGTACCTTACTTGTAGTTCTGGCATGGAGAGGCAAATGTCGAAAGGTGAATTCAAGAGTAGATCTG